TATCTTTTAAAACCTCTGTTTGTTTATTGCTATTAACAAGACAGTTTCATAATATAAACTGTTGCAGTTCTCTACTGTGAGCATAGACTAGTTCCAACTTGTCTCTGTCCAGACAACAGCAGTGTCCAAGAGGTGGTCCCTGTCTCCTGGCCTTCACAACGAAGTGTCAATTCAACAGCCTGTCTGGTGCTATTTAAATATTTGTATTGTTGATCAGGCTTGTAAAAAGAGAGTGACGCCCTAATCCATGGCATATTTTCAGATAATTAGCCCAACCCTGTCTTTCTCAAGATGACACTTGGCAAAAGATTCATCTAAACTAGCCACTTCTATTTCACACTGCTGATGTTGGAAGGACATCATGGATTTCCCATGTCCATTTGTCCTTGGCCACATTCCTTTTTATTTCACAATCATTCCATTTCAGTGGTAGAAGCATGATGTGTGTGATGGGTAAATTAGTGTAACTCTGCTAAATGTTGCTGAGAGAAAAAATGGTGGCCATAATGGAACATATTTAAACACACCAATTTCAAAAGTCTTCAGCACCTATTTTGTTGGATTATGGCCAATAGCTCCAATGAGGCTGGTAATGAAATTAGTCATCTCCCCTCCCCCCATTCTCAATTTGGGAAATATATTGCCCATAGCATCCCAATTCCATCATTATGTCTATGGTCATAGTATGTTACACACCTGAAAATGCATGGGATTTACCTGTAAATTAAACTGAAGTTGAATTCAGGTCTTCTATTTCTGGCATTCTATATTAGATGGAACTAATTCATTCCACTGGTCCTACATCCTCACCCCATTACATGTCTATTTATTGTTTACATAGCCTATGAAACACGGAAATCATTCTTCCTCCTTTGAGCACAATACAACACCCTTTAATTGTATGTTGAATCATGAGACCCAGTTCGGTGTAGTGGTTAAGAACAGTGGACTCTAATCTGGAGAACCAGGACTGATTCCCCCCTCTTCCACATGAAGCCAGCTAGGTGACCTTGGGTCAGTCACAGTTCTCTCAGAACTCTCTCAGCCCTGTCTACCTCACAGGGTGTCTGTTGTGGGGAGAGGAAGGGAAAGGTTATTGTAAGCTGCTCCAAGACTCCTTCAGGTAGTGAAGAGTGGGGTATAAAACCAGCTTTTCTTCTACATAGCACAAATTCCTAGGGCTTTTTACTGCATGCATAGTGTTTGTTAGAATGTGTTTTTGTACACTACAATTTAGTATCTGCTGTGGCATTTTTTAAGGTACTGCAACAGTATAAATTTCAAGGTCAGGTCCACAGCAAACATTTCCATGGCAAATATCCCAATTCATATGTCCAATGCCTTCATGTAGTTATGACCAGCCCTGTGTTTTTATGGAGGCTACCATGTAGATACGTGGGGTCGCTGTCCATATGAACCAGCCCATGTCAATCCATTTTGAATACCCTTTTAAAGATATTCTGAAATCAATGAATACATCTGCATCTAGTTATAGACTTTTCTTTGTCAAATATGAAATATTTGTAGTAAGAGGGCTGTCAGCTTCCAGCTCCCAAACTTCAGTGTAAAACAAATGGATTATCTGGTAAGAAACAACAGCTTGCTGAGACCACTCAGGAAAGCTCCAGACTGGGCACAGTGCCATCAGAGTTAGGACATCATCACAAAAGTTCGATGTGCATTGGAATTATGAGGAATGATGTGAAGAGGCTGAAAACAAAACAACTGCATTAAATACTGCTGTGACGGATTGCACAGAAAAGCGGGTTTTAAATGCTGCTATTTTACAGAGACTGGAAGATCAGGAGTTAATCTGCATCAGCTGAGAGCAAGTTTAATATCAGCTGTTCTGTAGGGAAGAGGGTCTTTGGGTCTGGAGTGAGCAAGCAAAAAAGATGGCTTCTGACAAAGGGAGTGATAGAAGAAAACACTCCTTTGTCTTTACAATAGTAGAACTACTCTGAAGGAGAATTGTATTTCTGAGTCCAGGAAGCTAAAAAATTAAAAATACTGCTTTACACAGACAACAATTACTGGAAGAGAGATTTGGCTAGAGTGAATGGGTTGTTAACTCCCAGTCTAGTCAAATAGTAAAGGATTATTGTTTCTTGAAAAAAGGAAGAATAATCCCTACCAGTGTTCCCTCTAAGTGTTCCCTCTAAGCTGAGTTAGTGTGAGCTAGCTCACAATTTTTTAACCTCCAGCTCACCCATTTTTGTCTTAGCTCAGGAAGGATGGCGCCGGAGCAAACTAATTTATGCAGTAGCCGAATCGCTCGCTCACAACTTTAATGCCAGTCGCTCACAAAGTAGAATTCTTGCTCACAAGACTCCACAGCTTAGAGGGAACATAAAAGGGGCCCTTTTTACTGGTAGGGATTATTACTTTTTTCAAGGGGTAGGGATTATTCTTCCTTTTTAAAAGGGGTTGTGCTCTGAGGAGAACCCAGGTCTGTGATGAAAGGGAATAAACTTTAGACACCTCAAGAGTGAGTGGAAAGCTGTAATTTTCTAAGAGGAGAAAACTAGAAACCCAAAGAAAGCTATTCTCCAGGGAACACTATTAAGATATTGTGTTATTTCTGTATACTGAAAAGTACCTCTCACTGAAAAGAACTAGGAACTTCTGAAAAGAAGCTACAACACTCTCTTGTATGTTTTAAGATTTCAGTTCTGTACATAGAAAAAAAGTTTTACCTTGGCTTCTCCAATATATATATGTATATATATATTTCCCTGCTAGTTAAATACAATCTTTGTTCTGTTTTGAAAGTTACTCTGTCCCATTTGCCATTTAAAAAGGGTTTAAAAACATGACAGCTCCTGCATTTCCCTCAGGTTCTTCTGCTGGGTCGTAAGCCTAAACAAATATCTGTGTCAGGGTAGGACAGTTTGGTTGTTTAAGTCAAAGAAAATGTATACACACTACTTGGGGGCGACTTTGTCACAGGGGGAACTAAAAGGTTTTGGCGGGAAAATCTGCCTGTGAGTTGGGAAGTGACCGAGGTCTGTCATAACCTCATTAAAATATTGGGCTGTTCCAAGCAGAGATGCTGGAAACCTCACAATGAACAGGTTCACACCTTTAATGATTCATGAGCTAAGTTTTGGATCTGTTTGCCTCGCCACTGTCTGTTATTAAATAACTTTATGGCTGTGCAGTAGCTGTACAATTCAGTTCTATTTCTCGAAAGCTTATGCTACAATAAAGTTTGTTAGTCCTAAAGGTGCTACTGGGCTTTTTACTATCTTCCACCTTAGTATGTGAATTAGGCTGAGAATCAATGACTACTGAAAGCCTATGAGGTTTTGCACACTTCTTTGAAGCACTACAAGTACCTGCAGTTTAAACTTGTGAGCTGAGTCGGCAGTGGGATCAGTGATAATAGCACAACCAACCACGTTCCATTCTCTGCAAAAGAGCTTGAAAGTTTAATATCTTAAAAGACTTTTTCCCCTCACAAGACAAGGAAAAAAATTGCATCCACCGCCTCAGCCAGTGGAGGGAGAGAAATAGCAGAAATTGAACACCTAAATTAGGCCAGTTTTTAGAGACCCCCTGATGATTTTAAACTCCTTTTCTTGCTCGATAATCCAGATACAGAAATAACTGAAATAGTAGCAAAGTTTCTCTGCAGTGCCATGGTCCTACGGCCTGATAAGTGATATTATGAATTAGGTTTTATTATGATGTTACTCTGTGATGTTACTCTGCAATTTTAATTTTACTCTGCATGATTTTGTATTTAGATTACTGTATCTTTATTTATATGCCAATAAAAGGCTTTGGATTTGGATTTGGAATATCTTAAAAGACTTTTCCCCCTCACAAGTAGGGTTGCCAAATCGACTTACGTTGCCAAATCGACTTACCTCTGCCGGCGGGGGACTTTGTGCTGGCTCCCGGCAGGCACGCGCCGCATGCACGTCACAGGGAAGTGACGTCATGATGCTGGGGATGCTGGGGGCGGGGCACATAGAGTTTTCCCCTCAAATGGCTATGCCCCGCCCCCAGTGTGCCCGGCGTCACTACGTCACTTTCCTGTGACGTGCATGTGGGGGTGGGGTTTCCCCAGGGGCCGATTCCGCGGGGGCGGAAATCGGACCTCCAAAGCGGGGGGAAATCCGCCCCCCGGTGGGATTTGGCAGCACTACTCACAAGACAAGGAAAAAAATTGCATCTACTGCCTCAGCCAGTGGAGAGAGAGAAATAGCAGAAAATGAACACTTAAATGGACTCTTTCCTCTGCTGTACATTGATTTCTGCAACATTCTGATTAGCTTCTATATTTCACTGAAACACTGACCATCTTATAATGAAAAATGGTGTGGCCTGTGCTACAATGACCTCTCAGTAAAGGACGCTGAAAACAGTTTCTTTCCGGTACAGAGTTTCTAGAAAAATAAATGAAGATAGGCCAGCAAGAAGTCTTGGTGGACAATGCTTAATTATTCAAATGCTTCATTTTTTCTCATATTAAGTACATGAACAAGGTGCTCATTAATCAGGTGCAAAGCAAAAACTAAGTGGAAAACTTCCTTGGAACTCGTGTGTGTAACAAAAATAAGAACAATGTCGTGTTAGATATAAGGATTACTCTGTTTAGGATTGCACTGTAAATTGGCCCCCATACAGTGAGAATAAGAACGTTCCTGATTTTTTTGCAGCTTAACTCCAAATTAGTTTATTGTGTTTACCTGTTAGAGTAACTGAGAATATAACACAATATAAGCTGAATTCTGAGAAGTCATCTCACTAAATACACATTGGCAAAATGAACTCTTCTTATAACAAATCTCATTTCAACGAGTCTTGTAAAATGTTGCACGAAAACCATATGAAAGTGATCATGTGTTGAAAGTTTATTCATGGTATGCAATGCATAATTCAAAAACTTCACTGTTTGATTAGCTCACACAGCCATCTTGCATGTTGTTACAATTTTAGCATCAGTCACTGCATTCTAATGTAATCTCTGTTCTGTATCTCTGGTTTCTCAGGTAGCAATGTTTATGCTGCACTTGGGCAGTGCCACCTTCTTGCTCACAGAGCCAGTGATAAGCGCAATGACAACAGGAGCGGCCACACATGTCGTAACTTCACAAGTGAAGTATCTTCTGGGAATGAAAATGCCATATATCTCAGGACCCTTGGGATTCTTTTATGTGAGTTTATCAGTGGAGTCTGGCCATGTAGCTTTGCTCACATCTGCATTTTAGCTAAACTTGTGGGGTCAAACTTGGGTCACCATGAGCACTTGATGGGGCCTGTATCTAAGTTCCTCTCACTCTACAAATGTGCCACACAATTGGTTTATCCCATTTATTCCTAAGAATATGTGAGATATGCAGGTATTAGGTGCTGAGATGCAGGGAGAGTCAGGCCAATCCTGCCAGAATCACTTTAGTGAAGACGGTGATATCAAGAATACAAATGCTCAAAATAAATAAAAATGTGAATGGCATGAAATTTAGCTGGAGGGCCTCCACCCATATCTATTAGGGTTGGGCTTATTCTTTCTGAACCATTCCAGAGAATTCTCAGTAAAAGCTTATTCCCCCTTCCCCGCAGGATTGCTCTGAGGATTCAGCAGTGTCATGGACATAAGAAAGCTCTTGTCCTTTCCTTTCCTGATAAGGCCCAGTGCCTCCCTCCCTTCCTCTGCTAGCAGGTCCTCCTCCCATTCATGACATCCTATGCAAATACACACACACTTGCTCTTACATGGGATTCCCAAAACAGCTCCTCTTCTGTTTATTTTCAGGATCAGTACTGTAGGATCACTGCACCCAGACCATTCCACTGGGTCACTGTTATTCCAAAACTTACCTTCAAGTGATGAGGTAGGGTCACAAAGGGAATGGCTTCTCCTTGGTCTCTGTTAGACCTTAAAATGGAAGTTTCTAATGCAAAGAATACATGAGACCTGCAATTTAACCCCTGATTTTCACATGCATTTTGTGCCTTTAGTTTCCACTTTGGATTTTTTGTTTTTTTCCTGGGGTTTTTTTTTTGAAGTTCTTTTGAGATCACGTTTACCCCAGAATTCTTCTGGAAGCTGATTTTAAATAGGCAGTTTCCTGGAACACTGTAACAATAGGCTAGGCAGGTTCCATGAATTTCCAGTTTTCTTTTTTTTTTATTTTTTTTAAAAAAGTAAGTCTCTATCTCCTTCCCC